AAGTCCTCTGCCTTTTGCAGGGGGGCAAGGGAGTTCTAGGAAGGTGCCTCTCAGAGGCGGCCGCGGGACTCAGATTCTGCTTTGCTATGAAGGAAAAGTGGATGGCCGCCGAGAAAACAGTTTGACAGTTTCCATAAACACAGGCCCCAGCCTACAACCCTGCTGTTCTATTCCTAGGTGTTTTTTTGTTTGAGACGGAGTCTCATTCTGTCACCTAGGCTGAAGTGCTGTGTGGCTGGCTTGTCTCACCACAACCTCCGCCTCCCGGGTTCAAGCAATTCTCCCACCTCAGCTTTCCGCGCACGTCACCATGCCCGGCTACAATTTGTATTTTTACTAAAGACAGGGTTTCACCATGTTGGCCAGGCTGGTCTTGAACTCCTGACCTGAAGTGATCTGCCTGCCTCAGCCTCCCAAAGTGCTGGGATTACAGGCGTGAGCCACCGCGCCCCGTCTGCTCCTAGGTGTTTGCCCAAGATAAATGAACACACATCCACATAAAGACTTGCCCGTGGATGTTTTAATACCTGTTTTAGTTATTATAGCAGCTTTATTCGTAATAGATCAAAACTACAGAACAGATAGACAACCTGTAGTGCATTCCAGCAATAAAAAGGAAGGGGCTGCTGATCTCTGCAACAGCGTGGGTGAACTCCAAAGACAAGATGCCGAGCGAAAGCAGCTGGACTTCCAGAAACACCTGGGTTCTGTTCACAGGAAACTCCAGAACCTGAAAACGAATAGATGGGCAGGATTCAGTTTCAGTTCCGCGAGACGAGTGGCCGCACAGCGCTGTGGATGTACTCAGCACTGAATGGTACACTTAAAAATGGGTGCGGGCCGGGTGCGGTGGCTCAGGCCTGTAATCCCAGCACTTTGGGAGGCCGAGGCAGGCGGATCACGAGGTCAGGAGATTGAGACCATCCTGGCTAACACAGTGAAACCCCGTCTCTACCAAAAATACAAAAAAATTAGCCGGGCGCGGTGACGGGCGCCTGTAGTGCCAGCTACAGGGAGGCTGAGGCAGGAGAGTGGCGTGAACCCAGAAGGCAGAGCTTGCAGTGAGCTGAGATCATGCCACTGCACTCCAGCTTGAGCGACAGAGTGAGACTCTGTTTCAAAAACAAACAAGCAAAGAAACAAAAAACGGGTGCGATGGTCAATTTTGTTATGTGTATTACCACAATTTACAGGTTTTTTTGTTTTTGTTTTTGTTTTGAGACAAGGTCTGGCTCTGTCGCCCAGGCTGGAGTGCAATGGCCTGATCTCAGCTCACTGCAACCTCCACCTCCCAGGCTCAAGCCATCCTCCTACCTCAGCCTTCCCAGTACCTGGGATTACAGGTGCCAGCTACCGTGCCTGGCTTTTTTTGTTGTTGTTGTTAGAGACAGGGTCTCACTGTGTTGCCCAGGCTGGTCTTGAACTCCTGAGCTCAAGGGATCCTCTCGGCCTCCCAAAGTGCCAGGATTACAGCCATGAGCCACTGCACCTGGCTGCTAACAGTTTTTTAAATTTAACAATAACAACAACATCCCCTGGTGCGATGACTCCACCTGTAATCCTGGCACTTTGGGAGGCGGAGGTGGGAGGATTGCTTGAGCTGAGGAGGTTGAGGCTGCAGTGGGCCGTGATCATGCCACTGCATTACAGCCTGGCATCAGAGTGAGCCTCTCTCAACCAAAACCAAAACCTTCCTTCCGGGGAAGGAAATCAGAACAGGGGGTGCTTCTGGAGATGGGGGACTGACTGCCAAGGGGCTGTGAAGGAAATGGTCTCTGCCTTGGTGCAGGTGGTGGTTACAAGGGTGCCTGGATCCTCACAAGTCATCTACCTATATCCACTTGCTTTTTTTTTTGTTTTCTTGAGACAGGCTGTCACTCTGTCGCCCAGGCTGGAGTCCAGTGGCATGATCACTGCTCATTGCAGCCTCCACCTCCTAGGCTCAAGTGATCCTCCTACCTCAGTTTCCCAAGTCCCAGCCTGGAGCTGGGACTCCATGCATGTGCCATCACACCTGACTCATTTATTTTTTGGATAGATAGGGGTCTCACCATGTTGGCCAGGCTGGTCTTGAACTCCTGGGCTCAAGTGATCCTCCTGCCTCAGCCTCCCAAAGTGCTGGGATTATGGGCATGAGCTACTGCACCTGGCTTTATATGCATTTTAAGTGGGGGCATTTCAACATAAGTAAAGGAAGAAGTGGCCAGGAGGCTGCAGCATGTGGGGACCCCCAGCTCATCCCTCCTGCTCCCACTCTGGCCAAGGCCACGGCTCTGCCTCCCCCACCCACCTGGGCCCTGGGTCTCGTGTGTCCTGACTCATCTGTCCTGAGTGTCCCTGGGCTCCTTCCTCGCCGTTTGGGTCCAGATCCCATGGGGGGGCTGGAGGGCAGTGTGGGTTGGGGGGTCCCATCCCCAGGAGCAGTGGAGTGGGGACACCTGTGTGTGCCTGTCCCCCCCGCCCCCGCCGCTGCAGCTGCACAGTTCCCACAAGCCTCTGTAGCCAGTGCGGGGTGGGGACGTGGCAGGCAGGGTCCTGGTCAGCCGTCAGCTCCCAGTGCGGGGTGGGGACATGGCAGGCAGGGTCCGGGACATGGCAGGCAGGGTCCTGGGCCAGCCGCCAGCTCCCAGTGCGGGGTGGGAACATGGCAGGCAGGGTCCTGGCCAGCCGTCAGCTCCCAAGGCCACATAGCTGGGACTACGGGTCACTCAGGCCAGGTGAGGGCTGACGGCGTGCGGCCGCCGCGCCCTTTCCCCCCTCTGCCCCGGCCAGCTTATAGCTAGGGGCTGCCCCCGAGGCTCTAGTACCATCTTCTCTAGGGCCCTCCTGGACCTGCCCCCTTGACTTCTTTTTTTTTTTTTTTTTTGAGACAGAGTCTGGCTCTGTCGCCCAGGCTGGAGTGCAGTGGCCGGATCTCAGCTCACTGCAAGCTCCGCCTCCCGGGTTTACGCCATTCTCCTGCCTCAGCCTCCCGAGTAGCTGGGACTACAGGCGCCGCCACCACGCCCGGCTAGTTTTTTGTATTTTTTAGTAGAGACGGGGTTTCACCGTGTTAGCCAGGCTGGTCTCGATCTCCTGACCTCGTGATCCGCCCGTCTCGGCCTCCCAAAGTGCTGGGATTACAGGCTTGAGCCACCGCGCCCGGCCCCCCTTGACTTCTAAGCCCTTCGCTGCCCTTAGGACGCAGGCCTCTTTGGGTCCCGCGACCCCGGTTCATTTCCGATCCTCCGAGGATGCTCCGGGTTGCTCCCACCAACCCCTAGGCTGTTTGCTTCAATGTCGCCCTCAGAGTGAGGCCCTCCCGGCCTCAGTATCAGTAATAAGAATAACTCCTTAGCTGCTGGTGTGTATATTTTACTTATTTTAAAACTTGACTCTTTTCCCTCAACTCTCCAGCCTCCTCCCCCAGTCAGCTGCTACAGGCAGGAATTGGTTTGTTTTGTTCAGCTGTTCCCGAGGGCCTGGTGGGCGCTGGCTGGCAGGAGGAGCCCACGTGCGTGCAGAGGTGGGTGCGTCTCATCCAGACCAGGCCACGCCCCATCCTGGCTGGTGCCTGTCCACCCCTCTGTCGCCAGACAGTCTTCTAGAATGAGCAAAGGGCCTGGACAGGCGATTCACTCAAGAAAGAGGAACGTAGGGGCCCCGCCAGCATGGATTGTGTGCTTGGCCTGGTCCTTGCGCTCAAGAAGGCTCTTCCTTTTGTCATGGGACCCATACTCTAAACATCCTCAATTACATACAGGATCAGAGACGGCAAGTCATTTGCCCACAGCTCCACAGCTGCCTGACCCCAAAGCCCGTGCTGTAAACACACATGCTGCAGTCATCAATGCGGTGGAATTAAAAACAGCCACGAGGCACCCTTTCCCTGTGCATTTTGGGGAACTTGCCCTCCACCTGGATTTGGATTGAGGCTGCCCTCCAGCCTCAATCCAAAATTTCTCCCTCCCCCGTTTCCCAGTTGCTGAGAAAGGGCTCCACCACCCATGCTGCCACCCACTCCAGGAACCAGGTGTCCCTGCCCATGCTCTGCCTTGAGGTTCAGCCTCCATCAGTTCTCATCAGGCCCTAGACCCAGTCTTGCCCTCTGATGCCACATGCTTGGCTCCAGGGCCCAGGTGTGCTGGCACCTGTGTGCAGGGCTGGCCCAGCATGAGGACAGTGGGCAGCTACCCCTCCCCTGTACACAGCCCAGTGTCCAACACAGATGTCAACTGGGCCTTCACTGAGCCTCCTTAGCCATCCCGTGGGACCCAGGGAACACCTGCATCCCAGCCTCTGGCTACACCATGGGGCACAGGCCTGCTCCCCCAGTCTCTCCTCTACTTGGTCACATTGCCCAGGGGTTTTCTTTTTCCTTTTTTTTTTTTTTTTTGAGACGGAGTCTCACTCTGTCACCACGCTGGAGTGCAGTGGCGCAATCTCGGCTCACTGCAACCTCCACCTCCCGGGTTCACACCATTCTCCTGCCTCAGCCTCCCAAGTAACTGGGACTACAGGCGCCCGCCACTGCGCCCAGCTAATTTTTTGTATTTTTAGTAGAGACGGGGTTTCACCGTGTTGGCCAGGATGGTCTTGATCTCTTGACCTCATGATCCGCCCGTCTCGGCCTCCCAAAGTGCTGGGATTACAGGCGTGAGCCACCGCGCCCGGCCTGCCCAGGGGTTTTCAAACCATGAAAGGATCAAGTGAATTATTTGCAGAGCACAAGAGACTCAGCTGGGGCTCAAACCCGGGGCTGCTGGACTCAGTCCCTGGAGGCCCCTGCCCAAGCCTGGGCCTGGAGGAGAAAGGCCATGGTAAAAGGCCACCTGGGTTAGCCCAGCTCAGCTGAGGCCACAGCTGCTGTCATCCCAGGCTCCCTGGCCAGCCCTGCACTGACACCTCCTGCCCACTCCCAGGGAAGGGATTATTGCCCCAACGTCTCCAGATAACAGCCGGCACACAGGGCTACAACAGGGACCCACAGACAGGCATCCCACCTCCCCGCCAGCGGCACCATGGCTTTCCTCTGGATCCTCTCCTGCTGGGCCCTCCTGGGCACCGCCTTCAGTGAGGGCTGGGCCCCGCGGAGGCTGAAGGGTTGTCTCCCCTCACTCCCAGCCCCGAGGCCAGCAAGGGGCAGCAGGGTCCCAGTTCCAGTTTAGTTGTGCACCACAGTGTGGGCCTGGGCGAGTCACCGGCTCCATCTCTGCCGTGGGCACTGCAAGACCTGGACCAGGTCACAGCTTCCCTCCCAGGCTCAGCTGCCACCTCGGAGCTCAGGAGCTGGGGAGTCCCGCTCCCCTTCCTCATCCCCAGCCGACCTGAGGCTCCCAGGGGAGGAGGTGGGTGTCTGGGGGGCCGCCCTGAGGCCTTCAGGAAACCCCCCAACAGTCAGTGGCCCCAGTACAGGCTTGGGTGGTGAGCATGTGGGCAGCTGGGGCCTGGCACCGTTCAGTCCAAACCTTTCAGGCGAGCCTCATCCTTTTAAACTCCTGCTTACGGAGCACTTCCTGGGTGCCAGGTGCAGAGCTGGCGCTCTGCCGCTCACTCTTCCAAACCTGAGAGGTCAGAAATGGTGTGATCCCCACTTTGCTGATGGGGACACTGAGTGGCTTAGCTGGGCAGGGAGGGAGCCAGGGTGAAATCCACAGAGTCTGGCCCCCCAGCCTGAGTGTCGGGACTGCACGCTCCACCTGTGTGGCTTCTCTGAACTGAGGAGGGGTCAACACCCCATTCCTCAGCAGCCCACAGTCCAGTGCCTTGGACTCAATTGTACCCGGAGATTCTAGTACTGCGAGAGGAGAGCCAGGGCAAACTTCTCAGAGGAGGGGATGTGGGAGCCAGCCTAGGTCCCAGAGACTGGAAAAGAGTTGTGAGAGGAGGCTGGAACACTGAGACCTGGGTGAGTGGTACCCACGCCTCAGCCCACTCCTGCCCCCAGGCTGTGGGGTCCCTGCCATCCCCCCCATGCTCAGCGGCCTGACCAGGATCGTCAATGGGGAGGACGCCGTCCCTGGCTGCCGGCCCTGGCAGGTGTCCCTGCAGGTGAGGGGCTTCTGCAAGGCAGGGGGTACCCTGGGTAGGGGCCAGGCTGGGGGTGCCGCCAGGTGGGAGTTGCTGACCCTCCCCCTCTTCCTCCCAAGACAAAACCGGCTTCCACTTCTGCGGAGGCTCCCTCATCAGTGAGGACTGGGTGGTCACCGCCGCCCACTGCGGGGTCAGGTGAGGACCGGGTATCCTCGAGCTCTGCTTCCAGCCCAGCTGGGTGGGAGGGGAGCAGGGCATGTTCTCTCACCCACAACGCTCTGCCCAGGACCTCTGACGTGGTCGTGGCTGGGGAGTTTGACCAGGGCTCTGATGAGGAGAACATCTAGGTCCTGAAGATCGCCAAGGTACCCAGGCCCCGTGCGGCAGAGGGCAGGGGCAGCGGGCATGGGGGGAGACCCCTGGGCTGCTTCAGGGACAGGTGCCCAGTGGAGCCGGGCTGGCCTCATGGTTCCCATTCTGGCCCTGGGGATGGACTGCTCCTTAATGGGCACCAGGGAAGGAGTCTGTGTCCTCGAAGCCTGCAGGTCCTGCCTCCTCCCAGGGCCTCACCCCGGCACTCTGGCCCCCACCCCCAGGTCTTCAAGAACCCCAGCTTCAGCATTTTCACCGTGCGCAATGACATCACCCTGCTGAAGCTGGCCACACCCGCCGTCTTCTCCCAGACGGTGTCCGCCGTGTGCCTGCCCAGCGCCGACGATGACTTCCCCACGGGGACAGTGTGCGTCACCACAGGCTGGGGCAAGACCAAGTACAACGGTGAGGGGCCGTGGGGCTGCCTCTGGGGTCGGGGCTGCCTGGCTGTGGAGTGTCCCCGTGACCGTTCGGCTCTAAATTCCAACACGTTCTTAACTGCCCCTTTATTTAAAATCTTCTGAATTTAAAATCCCTCAAATTTAAAATCCCCCAAATGCAAATAAAATCCAGGTCGGATCACGAGGAGCCTGCACAGGGGGTTTCTGAGCAGTGCCCAACCGGGTGAGCCCTGCCCTGGCTGACATGCCTGCCCATGACCCTCCTGCTATCCTGCAGCCAACAAGATCCCTGACAAGCTGCAGCAGGCGGCCCTGCCCCTCCTGTCCAATGCCGAATGCAAGAAGTTCTGGGGCAGCAAGATCACCGACGAGATGATCTGTGCCGGGGCCAGCGGTGTCTCCTCCTGCAAGGTGAGGCTGGCCCTGCCCAGGCCCTGGCCAGGCGAGCGGGGTGCAGGGGAGGTCCGGGTTCCCCACCCCTCTCTGCCCTCATCTACTAACCCTACTCCTTCCTGATGCCAGAGTCACCTTGTTGCAAAATTCCATGGCCAATGTCAGAGCCAATGGCCCTTGGAGTTGTGCAGTGCACAACCTGGGCAGTGGATCCCAGCAGGCCAGCGGGCTCCAGCAGCCCTCCCTCTCTCACAAGGACCCCTTGGCCAGCCCCACCAGGCTCTTCCTCCTATTGGTCAAACCAGCTTTACTAAGCTTCCAATAAAGGGCCCCATTCCGGGGTGGCTCAGGCTTCCAGGGGCATGAACCACACAAGCAGCTGCTGGAGTCTTTCATGACCCATGCTGAGCCGCTGCTGTGTGTGGGGTCCTGGCCTGGTCCCTGGGAACTATGTCCAGTGACCCCTGGGACCAGTCTGTCTGGGCTGCCAGATCCAAGTCCCCTTCTTCCTCTCCCAAAGGGTGACTCCGGCGGCCCCCTGGTCTGCCAGAAGGACAGAGCCTGGACCCTCGTGGGCATTGTGTCCTGGGGCAGTGGCACCTGCTCCACCTCCAGCCCTGGCATGTACACCCATGTTACCAAGCTCATACCCTGGGTGCAGGAGATCCTGACTGCCAACTGAGCCCGTGGCTCCCTCCGACCTTGCTCCCCACAGAACCTCAGTAAACCCGTGGAGCACATGTCGGTGCTGTCCGTCTCCTGTTTTGGGGCCTCCAAAGCCTCACTCCACTCCAGAACTTGGGCCCCCATTGGGCTGGGCTAGGCCAGGCACTGGCAGCCTCTGGGAGGATCCTTCCCTAGTCACCTTTCCCACCACTCAGGCTCCTGCTTCCCGAAGAGTGGCCAGAAACACACAGGCAGATAAAAAGGGGTGCAGAGACAGACGGGGGATGTGGCTGGTGGGGACTGGGAGGACCTTGGCCCCCATCCTCAGCACCTGCCCCCGGGCGGCAGGGTTCTTGCCACCCACCCTTGCTCCCTTGCTCAGGGCCCTGCAACAGGGCGTGGGCAGTAAGGGGGACGAACTCACTCTGGCGCACACACCTGCGGTTCCAGGGAATCTTCCCACGGCCACTCCTAGCGCTGCCAGACATGCTGGAGCCAGGAGCGTTATCAACGCAAGGACTGCTGATGAGGGGGGTGGTGGCGAGGTGGGCCGTGATTGGTGGGCTCAGGGGACAGGATGGGGACCCTCTGACACCCCATGGCCTTTCTCTGGATCGCTGGGCTTCCCTCTCTCTGCAGTGATTCTTGAAAGTTCGAGGCTCAGGCAGGCTGGGAGCCCCAGGTCAAACACGCCCATCCTCAGCCCCAAATGCCCAGAAGCAGAAAACCGCACTGTGCCATGTTAACACGGGGGCACCACATCCTCCATGGTCAGATCCTCCTCCCCTTCCTCCTCACACTCTGCCAGCTGGCTCCCACCCCTCTGGCCACTACCCCTGCTCCCTCAGCCATGCTTGGGGCATGTTTCCTCCCTTCCTTGGCCCCCACACCCTGCAGATTCTGCCTCCCGACGGTTTCCTGCATCCACACCTCTTGCCCATCCCCCACCCCCAGCCCCTGCACCCCCTGCACCCGGGCGGCCTCCTGGGTTTGTGTGTCCCCAGGCCCCGCACCCCAATCCACCCCAGTCACTGACTCAGAGCCCACGAGAGCACAGGGCCCCAGGGAGATCCAGCCACCACGTCACAGCACCCTGGGCTTGGAGAGGGACGGACACTCCCTTGGGTGCACAGCGATCAGGGGAGGGGGCTGTGGGCACTGCAGTGGCACCTAAGGACACCATCAACTGCCGGCTGCCCTGCCCCAACCCCAGGCTGCAGGGTCCCCACCATCCACCCTGACTCAGCATCCTATCCAGGATGTCCATGGGGAGGATGCCATCCCCAGCTCCTGGGCCTGGCAGGTGTCCCTGCGGATCAGAGTGGGGTCCTGCCCATGCAGTGGGGTGTACCCTGGGTGGTGGCCAAACTAGAGGTGGGGAGTTTAAAACAATTTTTATTAATATATACATAGAGACTTGGGTCTCACTATATGGCCTGACTAGTCTTGAACTCTTGGCCTCAAGTGATCCTCCTGCCTCAGCCTCTCAAAGTGCTAGGATTACACAGCCCTCGCCCCTCAGGTCCCTCCTGCCCTTGTGGGAGTTGTCAGTCCTATCCTCCCAGTGCAAACCTGGCTTCCACTTCTGCGGGGGCTGGGTGGTCACCACTGCCCACTAGGGGTCAGGTGAGGCTTGAGCTTGAGGAGTTGGGGCCCACCAGGTGTCAGGGAGTGACACCCCCTCTTCCCAACCCCAACTACACCCTGCAACCAGCAGGAAAAGGGTCGGAAATGAACTGCAGGCTGGGGAACCAGCACCCCCATTCCCCGGCCACAGGCAGAGCCTGCAAGAGACGTCCACCCCGGGCCGTGCACCCCACTTCCACCTTTGCACATCCTCAGGCCACCAGGATCACACCTTGGGGAAACCTGGGAGGTCCTGCGTCCTCACTGTGCAGGTGGGGAAACTGAGGCCCTAAGTGAGAAAGGGATGCCCTGAGGTCACCATGAGATTCAGTGGCCAAGCGGGGCTCACCCCCACGAGCCCAAGCACTGTCTGCCACCCTCACTCTCCAGAAGAGCCACCGTGTGGTGGCCGGGGCGTCTGACCTTGGCTCTCACCCGGAGGCCTTCCAGGTGCTAAGGATGGCTAACGCAAGGCCACACAGGCATGCAGAGGTGGCTCGTGACGCCACCATGGGACAAATCAGCCTCTGGGAGAGGAGGTGAGAGGATACAGGTGCCCCTACCCAGCTGGCCTGGGCCTCACCCTGCACCCTTGGCTGCCAGGGCCCATGGGCACCTGCCTCTCCCAGCTGTCTTTTCCTTCCCAAGTGTTAAAGCGTCTGAAAGCATCCTGACAGGTGTCTTCAATGATAAAGTTTTGTTCATTGTAGAAAAACGTGGAAAGATAATCATTAAAAATCACGTGCCACGGGCTATTCTCCTTCAGTCTCCATAGACTCCACCTGCCTGGCGTCTCCATAGACTCACCCGTCCAGTCCCAGTCCTGTTCCTTTCTCAATGTACTCCAGGACTCTCCAGTCCTCTGATGGAGGTCTGGGCTCCCCACTCCTCTCTGCCTCCTTCCCAGGCCTTACAAGGGCCAGGCCTCAGGCTCACAGCTTCCTGGACCAGGCAGGTGAGGCTGCCTGGGGACTCCCTCCTCTCCCCAGCCCTCTGAGCTGGAAGGTCAGCTCACGGGACGAATGGCGCCCCGGCAGGAATGAAAGCCACTTGCCCCAGCTCCCTCCAGGAGTGTGCATGGCAGAGCTGGGGCTGCCACGTGAACCCAGGCCTCAGGACCCTGGCACAGCCCCTGCACCCACGCTTGCCATTTCTCTGCATCCCTCGCTGGACTCCGCCAGGTCAGGGTCTCCCAGGCCCCGGCACCCAGTTCAGCCTGGCGACACATCCCCTCCTGCCTGCAGGGCAACTCCGGCAGCGCTTGCCTGCCAGGATGGACCCTGGACCGTGGAGGGCATCGTGTCCTGGAGCAGCACCAGCACCTCCCGTTCTCACCGGACGTGGATGCCCACATCATGAAGCTCATGCCTGGGAAGCCGTGGAGGCCGAGACCCTCCCTACCCCACGTCTGTGTAAAACACAAAGCCACTGCGAGCCACTGCATACACCTTTACTTCTGTGTCCTCACCAAGGAGGGTGGGCTGAGCATGATGTGGCTGAGTTGAGGGGACAGATGCTGTCACGGGGACCCCTCCGTAGAGGTAAGATCAGGAGGGCTGAGGATCACCCAGTACTACCCCCTTCTTCATACAGAAGGGAACCCAAGGCGCATGTTGACATCAGAATGGTCAGGGCTGGGAGGAGCACCAGGGGTTCCAGGCACCCTGGAGCTTCCATCTGGGCTGCGGGCTGCTGGGTGGGGGAGCCACGGGGGGCACACACTTCCCCAGGGCAAAGGTCTTCTCCAGGCCCCTCCCTCCCAACTTGGAGGCCAGATCCACGTGTAATTCCGCGTGTGCTTCGGGAGTTCCACGGGCTGGGATGAGATTCTTTTAAGCAGAGTTCTAGATGCAGCACCTGACGGTGCCCTCGGCTCACAGGAACCCGTCCCCTCCTGCAGCTGCTCCTGCCCCGATCTGCCCTCGCTCCAGATGCCAGTTGTGGGCATGGGCAGGTGCTCGCTGCTGTGGCAGCTCCCTAGGGCTCGAGGGGGCCACGCCCAGGCTGTGCCTTCTGGGCCCCAGACCTTGTAGCTCTGAAACTGACCCCAACTCCTCTCTTGGGCCCAGGCTCTGCCCTGGTTCCCAGGGCCTCACCCCACCTGCAGGAGACACCCAGCCTCGGTGTCCCTTAGTTTTTTTCTGGGAGATGCCATGCATGACACTTGCCCCTGGGTGCCTTCCCTGAACCGTCACCTGCCCCGGGGTGCTCTCATCTGGCACCCTCAGGCAGCTGCTCTTCATTTTAAAAACTTTATTTAAATGGAGACTATTAGTCAAATGATTGGAAAACCAATAATGAAAAATAGTTCTAGTTCTTCAGGGTCTTCTGGTAAGGCGGAGGACACACCAAACTGCACTGGCCCTGTCAGGGGACATGGCACCCTCGCAGGGCCAGGCTCAGACCTCGGGGCAGCATGAGGTCCTGGAGGCTGCGGGGCCCTCACACTCCAGACCCTGCCTGGTGACCCGCCCCGAGCCCGTGGTGCATGCTGGGGAAGGCCACTGGCCGACCCCTGGGCTTCGGCTCCTGGGGAGGCATGGCCCCACACCCTGCCCAGTCATAAATATATACAGATTCCTGGGCATCCAGGGTCCCAGGCCCGAGGCAGAGCTGGGGTCCTGTCTCTAAGCCTGTGGCGCAGCCACTCTTGAGATGGGAGCCAGGGAGCTGGGACCACCATGCCCCTCCCCCGCCTCCCTCCTGGGGTCACGGCCCTCAGGCGGCTGCCAGCTGGCCTAGGACGCGGCGGAACTGCTGGGTGCTGTGGCCCAGCTCCTTGACCCTCTCCACCATGTCCTGGGCAGCGGAAGGTGATGGGTACTGCAAGGCGGCGGCCTTGGTGGTGGCCACGATGCCACGCAGGAGGTCGCACAGCAGGTTGCTGTAGTGGGTCACCTGGCTGCGCACATCAGCAGCCTTGGCCTGCCGTGACAGTGTGTCCCCAATGAACACCAGCTTGTGGGCGCTAAGGATGACGAATTTGCTGTGCGCCACAAAGATCTTGGGTGGCTGGTTGGTGGCCACGGCGGTGAAGAAGGCGTCCACGGCATTGGTCAGTGTGGTCAGGTTGGCCTCACACTGCTCCAGGTAGAAAAGCAGCAGCTGCCGGTCCGAGGGCCCCAGGCCGCCTGTCCGCCCCGGGGCCAAGGGTTGGGTTGGTGTCCAGTTGGCCAAGTCGTGGTCTATGGGCCGCGACACCTCCTGTTCCAGTCGTTCAAATTGCTTCAGCTGGGGCGGGAGGGAAGCAGGAGCAGGGTTAGGCTCTCGGGCGAGTCAGAACCACAAGCCAAGACCTGGGCACCCTGGGCTGGGCTTCTCTAAAAGGGCTGCTACTCAGAGTGCACGGGCCTGTGGGGAAACCGGCAGTCTCCTCTCCCGGGGACGGGC